AGATGTGCCTAAAGGGATCCTCTCCAGGAAGACCATGGAATTTTGGAAGTAAATTTATGAAGCCAGAATTCAGTTTTAAAGGCTTTTCTAGCTCAGCATATGTGATAGAAAGCGGTTGAACATTTAGGTTAGGGGCTGCCAATTCTCTTAAAGTTGTCATATTTGGTTCAGAATTTATTTCAAAAAGATTATCAAAGATGCTATCAGAACAAGAATCAAACAAATCAACAGCAAGCAAATTGGCAGGTCTATCCTCAGACTCAGCAACAAACTCGCTATTAAAAGAATTGGGTTCAGACACACTTACCTCAGAGTTGCTACCGTTTACCTCTATATCGCCAATTACTCTTCCACTCCTCAAGCGCATGCAAAAATCAGATAGCTGCAACTCAAAGAGAATACACAAGTATTAGAATTCTTATACTTCATTCTACTGTCAATAATTACTGAGCAAATAACAAACAAGCAAGCAATATTGTCTCTTTTTTTAAAAAAAAAATCAGCACCTTAAGTAATAGGTGAATTCAAATTTCTGCTCTCTTGTTTTTTTAAAGATAACAAAGTGCATTAGTTGCTCAGTTGACTTTACTTAAAAAAAATATCATTTTAATGAGACTCCCTAGTGTGAATAAAAATCTGCAGTAATGCATCTTTGAAAACAGTCTTTTTAAAGTGCTTTTGGGCAAGTTCTCATTAAAATAATTGCACGTTCCAAGGAAAAGAAGTCAGTACAGTTAGTTCCTACTTCTCTAATTGTTACTAGTTAGCAATATAAAAATATTTTGATCAAACTTGGACGGGAAACTCCTTTTAACATCATTTTCCTAAAAATATTTAAGCTCCCAGAACCTTATTTGTTCAAAATCTGCATTTAGTGGAGAAAAAGGTTGATTTTAAAAACTGTCAGTAAATCTATTTATTTTTTCAGTAAAAAGTGGGCCAAGGAAAAAAAACGTAGGGACTCATAACAAACTGATTACAAACAAGACACAAATGTACCTAGGGACTGACTTAGACTTTAAAAAAAAACTGACTTATTAAACTATAATAACCAACATTATAAAAAAGACTTCATTTTAAGTGTTTTTTTGTTTTTAAACAATAAGAAAACCAATTCTCATAAAAAAATAATCTATCCCCGGCAACGGCGCCAAAATTTGTTAGGCGTGTCGTAGCACCTACAAATTAATTTATTCTTTTCCTTTACTTAGTTCCTTCTTGTAAAAATAATATTTATTAAATCTATAGATAGGATAAGTAAGAGTCGATCCCACGAAGAAAGACATTTTTTTTAGGCTATGAAAATCGGTTTACTTTGTCACTTTTTATTGAGTGAAAACAACTATCTAAAATCTATAAACTAAATTAAAAGATGGGGGGTTTGAAAATTGTTTTCTAAATAAAGTAAAAAAAACTAACTAAAGTGACACACCACACCAGAACAAATCTCAAAACAAACCAAGGATAAAAACAGAACATAACTCCACCAAAAAGCCCAAACGAAGAAGACAAGCACACATAACACAACATTTTAGAGACTTAAACAATTTTAGAAAACCAACAAAA